CATGTGGGACCCAGATCCACCTCAAGCATTTGTCCACATATGCATGCCACATCAGCCTGACAGACGGGTCCCACTCGTCCGTTGTCAAAACATGGTAAGCCCAAGACCAGTGCAATTTGTAACCAATAGGCCTATAAAATAGTGGTTTTTTGAAGAAGAAAAAAAGGTGTGGTAGCAAACTTACACCGTAGCCCAAAATATGGTGGGTTTTTTCTTGTAATTTGCTTGATCCTTCCTCATCTCTTCTCAGTTCTCGCTCGGTCACCCCTTCGTCCTTCCTCTCGTCTCCTCTAGACACTTATCCTGCCGATAGATATCCTCAACTGAAATTTGTGGTTTCATAACTGGCTTTGCGGTAAAGCTCGATGCAATGACGTTGTAACGCCTGTTTATCAGGCAGCGAATTATAACCCTGTCTGTCAAATAACCAGTGTACATGCATATCGGTCTGCAGGTTGTTCCAAATCCTCCATGTTGGCGCGCAAAAGGCCAAACGGGCATGGTCAACCTACCTGCCACTGCGGAGAACGTGCATCTTTCGTAACCTTCACGTACGTTACGGGACGTGCCATTGAAATCCGCCGCATCACCCAAGAATTCCTCCTCGTCACAGAGCTATACTACTATTCCCTTGGCGACGAACGGCCCAAATCATTGGCCAGCCACATGGAGGTTTATTCCCTTCGTCTATTACTGTACTCTGATGTTCCTTTTTTAAGTCGAAGATAATTGCCTTCCCGTCCGCTCAAGCTAGCTAGCTCGGGCAAGATGACATAGGTACATGTCATCCTGCTGTGATGGACGCGGTCACGAACTGGCCGGCGTCTCGGCGGCGTCTAATTTGTTTCGCGTCAATGCTTCGTTGCATAATTTCTTAACCACGTACATAGCTGGTGGTAGCTAATTGAGGTGGAACCGTGGAAGTTAGCACATGCGTGTATACGCAGAAACAGGGTGTCCGTCGCACAGATGCATATCCACCCAAGTACGTCTACTACGTAATCAGCGGTCCTCCTAACACATCTATAAATACTGGGAACTGCAAGGACATATCAATCCGTCCACATTTCATCGAGCTTAGATCACTTACCAATCTACTTAGGCCCTGTTCGGCACTGGCCCAGCTCCGCAGAATACGAGGATCTGCGGAGTACCTCTTCGGCCACTCCATAATTTTAAACTGTAGCTCCGGCCGCTCCGGGAGAGAGTCGAGGAGTGGAGAGCCTCCGAACGGGCCTTTAGTAGACATCCTTGCTTCTGAAGATTCATGGCGATGGGGTCTTTCCTGATCCCTATATCCCTGCTGGTTCTCGCCGCGAGCTCGGCCGTGGCCCAGCTGGAGATGGGATACTACCGCAAGTCATGCCCGGACGTGGAGGCGATAGTCCGCGAGGAGATGGTGAAGATCATCTCCGCCGCGCCCAGCCTCGCCGGCCCGCTCCTCCGCCTTCATTTCCACGACTGCTTTGTCAGGGTAAGCACATCTCTCCACACTTTGCGTTCCATTGATCATGATGGCTTTGCGCACTTGCACAAGCATGCATGTCCGTGTACTGATGGATGATGTACGCAAACGCGGAACGCCACATGCAGGGCTGTGACGCGTCTGTGCTGCTGGACTCCACCAAGGGCAACCTGGCAGAGAGGGACGCCAAGCCCAACAAGAGCCTGCGGGGATTCGGCTCCGTGGAGCGGGTGAAGGCCAAGCTCGAGGCCGCATGCCCGGGCGTTGTGTCCTGCGCCGACGTACTCACGCTCATGGCCCGCGACGCCGTCGTCCTGGCCAAGGGACCCTCCTGGCCCGTGGCGCTCGGCAGGAGAGACGGCAGCGTGTCCACTGCCACGGAGGCGAGCGACGAGCTGCCACCCTCCTTCGGCGACGTCCCTCTGCTCACCCGGATCTTCGCCTCCAAGGGGCTCGACCTCAAGGACCTCGTCGTCCTCTCCGGCGCGCACACGCTCGGGACGGCGCACTGCCCGTCGTTCGCCGACCGGCTCTACAACACCACCGGAAACGGCCTCGTCGACCCGTCGCTGGACAGCGAGTATGCCGACAAGCTGAGGCTCAAGTGCAAGAGCGTCGACGACAAGAGCATGCTGTCGGAGATGGATCCCGGCAGCTACAGGACCTTCGACACCAGCTATTACCGTCACGTCGCCAAGCGCAGGGGGCTCTTCCGCTCCGACGCTGCCCTGCTCACTGACGCCACCACCGAGGAATACGTCCGGCACGTCGCTACCGGCAAGTTCGACGACGCGTTCTTCAGGGATTTTCAGCGAGTCCATGATCAAGATGGGCAACATCGGCGTGCTTATCGGCCGTGATGGAGACATAAGGAAGAAATGCTACGTCCTCAACTAGAGAAGCTAGTAGCGGATTAATGCCGTGGAACAAGTGTCTGTTGAAAATTGGGACCAGATGGTGTATCTTAATTTGTCTATTGTTACTGCTCGTGTTCAGAAATATACTAGTATATATGACACAAAAAAAAGAAATATACTGGTATATATGACACAATCTTAGAGAATTAAACATGGTATTTATACATGGGAAATTATGTAGTAACAGAAATTAATTTGGAAACGGCAACATTTTTTAAAGTTTTGAACAATTAATGAAAAACTCAAAATAAAATAAAAATTCTAAACATTTTTCAAGAAATTCAAATATTTTTTAAAATCTTGAAAAAGAAAAACAGAAAACCAAAAAGGAAAGAAAAGAAACAGAAAACATAAAGAGAAGAAAAGAAAAACAATAAAAAACCAAAAGTAGGACGGCCCATCTTGTTTAGCTCCTTGTGCGAATCCCCGACTATGCGGCAAATAGAATTTTCATACAAAAGAAAAAGAACCCGTGAAAAGTGAACTACGGGACAACCATGCGATCTGGACTATTGCTAAGCACGATCCAACGTCTAGCAAGATGAAATCGTTGTAAGAGGTCGTAGATAACTCCCTTTTACTTTTTTAATGAAAAATGGCAGAGCTTTTACCATTGTTTTGGAAGAAAAAAAATTAATAGTACATGCCATCAACACTTAGCTGTGAACAAAGAAAAATGTGGACTGGAATCAGCTATGACTTCCCGCAAAAAAGAAAAAGGACCATACACGTGCAGAGGAAAACAAGCGTGAGACAGTGTTGTATCATCATGAGGTATTTACGAAAAACTACCACATTTAGGGCTAGAGTAACAACCTAGCACTACTTTCTGGTCAGAGCACGAGGAATTGCGCTTAACGACTGATGGAGAGTATTGATGGTCAGATTTGCTCGTGAAAATAGGGAAACCGACAGGTTGGGCCCACCTATCAAGATGGCATGGCTTGTTTACATGTACATTTTGCTGAGGCGGAGATGGGTCCAACCTCTTATTCCGTCAATGACTCGGCCTTTATATTCTTCCTAGGTTTATTTTTACTTTTCCTCTGTTTCTTCATGGCATTTTATCAAGCAAGTCGTGTGAGGGGGTGTCGGCGGTGTGCTGGAGCTTAAGTTTGGTAATGGTGGAGCTGAGTGGAGGAGTCGTCCGCAGAGAAATTCCACGCGTAAGCGGAAGCGGCTGGCTGAGGAGTGATGGCAGCACACGAGGGTGGGGGACCTGCTCAATCTGGAAGCCCAAGCTCCGGATCCACTCCTTGAAGCGTCGTCGCTCCGGGCTCCGATCTTGAGGAAGTAAGACAGTTAGTGGGCGTTGCGCTGAGCCATGGTAGACAGTGAAGCCTTGGAAGTCGCACCTATCTGTGATCAGGACAGGGAGGCTCTGGAGGTCCACGTCACTGGCAAACAGGAGAAGGCACTGGCTTGCACCGCAGAGCTCGCGCACTCGGAGTTCGTGCTCGCTCTCAACCTTGCCAGATAACTCCACTAGGCCACGGTCTTCATGGCGTGGAACGACAGCCCCCCGACAATGGAGCGGCCCGAGGCGGAGAAAGGAGTTACGGGCATTCTGTTCCCAGCGGATGAACCATTGAGGTTGCTCATGGCGGGCAAGACGCGGTAGTGCGGGAGCTACTGCTGCATGACGTGGTGTGGGAAGCCACGCTTACGAGAAAAACTACCCGCCAACACTCCATGGAGAGGCAGACGAGCTGCCGCTGCACTCTTTCCACCAAGAGGAAAAGTATTAGCGCCCAAAAGTTGTTCGATGAAATGCCTCAGAGAGAGAGAGAGAGAGAGAGAGAGAGAGAGAGATGTGAAGAAGATGACCATCTAGTTCTTGATAGGTGGGGTCACGTCTCATTTGACACATCAGTTGATCAAAAGTTTTTAATATTCTTCATGTCAGCCTGACAAGTGGGGCCTACTTGTCAGTTCCCCTGTTTCCATGAGCAAATCATACAATCATTGCTCTTCGTTAGGTGCAAAGATGGTGTGGTTCCTCATGCCTTAACGAGAAAGTGGTACTAAGTTCCCTAAATATGACGATTTTCAATAAATACCCAAATTGCGATCAGACGAAGTAGACACACGCTCATAAAAGAGCGTGAGATACGAGCAGCTCTTCAAATACGATGCATGCATGCATGCATGCACGACACATGATAAGACGGGACACGTGGTCGGCTGTGTAGGTGACCGAGAATTCTGCTCAAATCAGCCGGGTGAACACGAATGTTTTCGATATGCAAAGGAAGCAGCCACCGCTTCAACCCCTTTATTCGTAGTTGGAAATCAAAAACAAAGTAAAGGATACCGACACCCGCGGGCACATTGGGTGGCGATATGCATCGCTCACTTTTCTACCACGAAATCAGCAACTCAGCGGAACAAAACCAATCTTCTCGGCTACGACATCGTAGATCACCTCAGCAGAACGCTGCTGAGTGTTGCCGATGATGGAGAACTGATCCGTGGGATCGCTCGACGCGAACGCGAAGCAACCGATGGCCGGGTGGTCCACATAAGGGTATATCATGACCCCGAAGATGTCGATATCGAACACGGCTCCATCGCTGAACTTGAAGGACATCCCTGGTTGGAAGATCACGCTCTGGCCAGAGAAGTCATAGCACGTGTCGAGGTCTTGGAAGGGTGGCGCCGGCTTGTACCCCTTCATGGTGAACTTGAACCGGTCGCGGAGCAAGTTGTAGGCCTGCGCAGGGATGTACGTGAACGTGGTGCCGGAGTCGAGCAGGGTGCCCTTGCTGGTGAACACGGATGGCGGCACCGGCAGGACGTAGCCACCAATGTCGATGGACACGAGCTCCACGAAGTAGAAGGATGGGTACTGCGGCTTCTTTATCATCGCCGTGTACTGGACCTTGCCGATGTCTGGGGCGGCGCCAATGCTGAGGAACCCGGGCCTCGTCATGTTGTGAGACGGCAGACAATAGGAGAAGGTGCCATCGAACGAGGAGGCCGTCTGCGAGGCCAGCGAGAGCTGGCCACGGCCAAGGCCAAGCAGCCCGTCGACGCTGCCAAAGTCACCCAGGTTGGTCGTGCCGCATCCGAACGGGAAGCTGGAGAACTTGCGCGACGAGGAGAACGTCAGCGTCTCCTGTGAGAGTGCGCCAGACGTGGATGAACCGTCACCATAGTTCACGTTGTAGAGGCAGGTGGTGCCATTGCACATGCCACCGGCTGCCGAGCACTCTGGCGTACCGCAACGCACGACGTCGTAGGTCGAAGACTTGGTCGGGTCGAAGAGCGGGTCGTTTTGCTGGTAACAGTGGCCCGTGCACGGCTGGCACTGGACCCACGAGAGGTCGCTGCCGGTGTCGAACAACAAGGCAGATGGCTGAGATGGCGTGCCAAAGCCAACGACGACGACAAACTCCGTTATGTTGAAGCCGCTGGTCCCCGGGACATCCGGGATGGTGACCGACGGCCCCTCCGATGGTGCAGGAGCCGGCGGGAAGTATATCGGAGGGAAGGCGATGGCTGGTGATGGAGGCATCCCCTCTGATGGTGCTGGATTTGGCGGGAAGAACATAGGAGGGAAGGCGACGACTGGTAACATCGGAGGCATGCCATCTGCTGGTACTGAACCTGGCGCGGGGCTTGGCGGGAAATAGGTGCCCGGGTGGTCTGGGATGCTGATAGGAGGCAGGTCCGCTGATGCTGGAAGCGGTGTGGGGCTTGGTGGAAAAAACAGTGGAGGGAAGACGGTGGTTGGTGCGGGGGTCGGCGGGAAATACATGGGAGGCATGGCCGAAGGGTAAGACCTTTGGTGGATGGTGCTCAGCCGGGCTCTGTGGTGGCTAAGGATGCCGCGCTTGCGTCCCACTTGCTCGCCCGCGCCACAAGATGGATGGATGGTGAACTTGTTGCGAGAAGTCTCGTCTGTCAATCATTTACATATCACATGTTACAAAAACGTATACGTATTGCTCTTTCTGTAATAACGGTAAAAAATGCATTTGAAAAAGTAAATGTCTCTTATTTTTAGAACATTCTAAAACCTATATGTGCCTATATTAAAACGTTGGCATGTTCAGCAAATTATAATACATGTTGTGATCCACTGGATGGACATATATAGCTGCATAGATATGGTACACGTACTCTAGATACAACTTCTTTTCTGTGGTCAAGCAAATTTGTTTTTTTTTTCATAGTGTTACATAATGTTTCATTAGTTTTCTGGTTTCAAAGTGTGTATCATAATAATGCATTGTTTACCACCAATAAGAGTGCCTTGTTTCATAGCAGATTTGCTGGTACACAATAAAACAACAAAATACACTCTGAAAAAAGAAAAAAAAACTTGGAATATTTTCAAACAAGACAAATTGTATCAAAAATCAGAAAACGCAGCACACTTGTTTTTAAAACAAAGCATCGGCACTTTGTACGGTACTTTCACACCTGGACGTAGTACACCCCGAGCCATACCTGAAAACGAGGAGGGATCATAGCACTGGGCTCGTGCCTTGGAGCCGACCACCTGGTCGAGGCTGACGGAGAGGTAGCGGGTCGGCCCAGCCGCCAGAGCGCCGCCGCAGAGGAGGGCCAGCACCAGCAGACCGCCGTAGAGCGACGGCAGTCGGGGCGACGCCATTGCAAGCACAGCTCAAGGTATTTGTCTCGCGCCGGTGAATGAATGGAGCGGCAGTGATCCGAATCCTTATATAGGCGGACGCGGGGCATCGTGTCAGGTCCGACATGATCACGAAAAACAAAAACAGGCGTGGCCGTTGCCAAGGCCTGCGCCTCGAACGAGCTGAGCAGGAGCTTGGCTGCGGCCTCGGCGCGATGGATCCGATGAGGATGATGCAACCCATTCCGTCCAATAGGTCGGCTGATGCAACCGATCCCGTCGGATGGGTCGGCTGATGCTTTTTTTCGCTTGTAAAACTATTACCAGAGCAGTTTGCCGCACG